AGAAAGGGGGGGGGGGGGGGGGCAGAGACTCGACTTTTTTATATACATTTGTGTATTATAGGTTAGATAGCATTTTTCATTAAATATATTGTTTTACATGTGTAATTAATGAAATCAAAGCAATTCTTACGATGTTATTTCATTTTACGTAGATATATATATTTAATACAACCATTCTGAGTTTTATGTACTGACTATGTATATGAATAGTCAACATGTACTTGCATGAATATTTTCATCCTGTAAATTAATGAATTCTTTATTTTTTGTTAATGTAGAATTTTTTATTTATTAATTGCAACTTAATTTTTATTTAATCACAAACAAAATCCATTCAATGCTTTCAACATTTGATACAAACTTTTATAGTTGAATAGAAACTTAGAAAACTCATTTCTTACATGGGCATTTTCTGCGTAAAATAGGTACCACATCTATAGAAACAATACACAATTACAGTATATACATATATGAAATAATACTTTTAATTAAATGCTAATTAAATATTTTTCAACATCATACGGTGTGCATTTTGAAAAAAAATTCATTCAAAATATGCAAAATGTAAATGCATCAAAATTTTTGTCATAAAAGATATCTTAAGCCTTAAATTAAACAATCTTTGCATTTATTACTCAAGTCTGATATGTTTCCGACATATATAAACAATTTTTGATCATTTAAATTTAGAAACATGCATAGAAACTTGATGTAAATAGACCTACCCTCAGTTTTTCTTTAATTGACGGCCATTTGTGATCTCTAAATCACGTGACTTAGGTGATCGATGTTGAAAAACAAACATCAAAATTATGAAATAGAATGATTAAAGTTACATAAAATCACATTTTTAAGTGATTTTATCGTAGGCCGGAAAATGGCCTTATAGAGAATCATCCTTTCTACAAAGTTTTACATTTTGTGAATAATACATGAGTTAGGAAATTAAGCTTGCGGAATAATATATTGGGAAATAAACACAAACGACGTGTAATTATGTATTTTTAGAAATTGTATTGAAAAAAAATGACGCTACTGTGTTTTCTGTGCTACCCCAGCAGTGTTTGTCGTGTGATTTCAAACTTGTCAGACAACCATATAAATTGGATTCGATAAAAATAAATCCCCAATATACTGAGGTACATGTAACACTAACTGACATTATGCGCCGTGGTTTAAATTTTTTGCTGTTACAGAAAGTTGCACGGGATACCCGATTTCGCAGATTCAATGATACCCTGATATCGGGGAGTATACACGATTTCACGGATAATACCCGATTTCAAGTATTCTCTCCAACCTATTGAACATTGAAAGATCAAGAAGTCATTTATCCATATCCATGATTATTTAAAAATCCAATGATGTTTAGTCTTACTTCATTGGACAAAATTTTATTCCCCTTATCAAAAAGAAGTCTGATTAAGAGCAGTTGATTAATTTACACTGATATTAGAATCACTAATGAAGTCTTCTTTGCATTTAAAAAAAAAAACTGATAGCAGAACTTGCTCCACATTTTGATTTACATGTATGTGTTTGTAAAGTGTAGGCGGGAGTAGAGAGTTAACATTCGTAGTTCTTTATAGCAATTTACTGTGTGTGGTAAGAAATTGTAATCTTTAACCATTTAACATTAATGGTTTGAACTAAGAGTTTCTAATTAGCATGATTACAGCATATTAGAGTTTTTCTCTGTTGATGATCAGGTAATTACAGATTCAGCATACCTAATCTTTTTCATGTTTTCCCCCGTCTGTGACTGGAATTAAATTCAGTCTTAATTGCCAGTGTGAGCTTACAGATAAAAGCTAATTATTCTTTAGCTAAGGAATCTCTATATTGTGACTTAATTCATTTATCAGTTCCAGCTCACCACATTCACGAGCTATAGTTCCTCTGTCACCATGTATTACTGTGTCTTCTGCGACTTCTGCTGCTGGTCATAAACAAAAGCAGCTTCTCCTATGAAACTGCTGAAACAGGCCCAGCATTTTTCACTGTAACATTTTTCAATTTTGTAAGAGACATATTTTGTAATGAACAGAAAAAAACACTTGTAAAATTTGGTGTCAAATCACTTTGTCTCTCTGTATGTAACGGTATATTAATTGTGACAGGATTACTCAAACAGGTTACATTATTGATCATAAGATAAAGACACTTGATATAAATTTTTGGTCCATCTCTCTGTCAAAACTTTTGTTGTGATGCATTAACTCAAATATTTTTCATATTCATAATGTTTTTCAATTTACACACAAATTTTTTATATAAAAAAAGACATGCACCTATAAATTTTGGAATTGTGTAATGCTTTTACTGTATATATGCATATATGTTGTAATATATATCTATCATGACATAATAACTCAAACAGTTTTTATTGTAACAATTTCAAATTTAAAAAAGAAGTATTTCATTATTAGAAAAAACACATATTTTATAGTCATATTATTTTGTCTGTTTGTTTGTAATATGTACATGTATATCTGTATGTTTTTACAACCTTAGGCCAAATAAAAAAATATGTGTGGTTCTGGTTACCCGACCTTCCCTATTTTATACCCCCGACCCTAAACTTTTTTTTGGCAATTTTCATATTTTTTCCGGAATTTCCCCCGATTTCCATCAATGGTTCCAGTTTAAGTTTTAGTTTCAGCAATGACGGCCTCCTTGCAAAACATAGTGCAAGTGTTTAATAGTGTTAAATCCAAAGCAAGCTAGCATGTAGGTGTCCCTAGCTGCAATAATGTAGCCCTCTCCAATTTTTTTTTTTTTTTTTTTGGGGGGGGGGGGGGGGGGGGGGGGGGAGAGGGCTACAACTCCTTAGGATCTCCGTAATGGTGCAAGTGCGGGAGTGATTCACTACTGCACAGATTTCGGCTCAAATTATCAGTAAGTGGGTATTTTATTAACATATCTTACCTGAACTCATAAAATGTAGTTATGCAGGACATGAATTGATCCAAAAATATAAAGAACAATCCGTATATCGGTTAATTTTCGTGTATGTCAACATCACAACTTGAATTTATCCGCCATGTTTACCTTGACTTTGATCGATTTTATTTTTGGACAACCAATGAGAATTTGGGATCTAGGGGAGCGGATCTGTATGGATTTCCCTTATTATAAGCATAAATATCACTGTTTATGATAAAAATATCATGTGGAATGCTTTTATTTATCGATGTTTAGTTATATCATACAACACAAACATTTATCAACACCGACATTTACATTATCAAGTGATTCTAAATTTCAAGCGCAAGTCTCAGTACATCACGCGAGAACTGTCATGGCTGCTGAGGTGAACGACTGGAAAACACGCAGATTTATTTTACTTGGTTTTCACGTATAAAGGGCTATGATGTTGATAGTGAATAAAAATTCCGTCTTATTGGAAGTAAGTTGAATGCAAAAACAATTTATTTTGCCTGCAGTCGCCCGTATCTGAAAAATATATTTGCACCATTACGGAGATGCAGTGGAATTGTAGCCCTGTCCTGAAAATGTCAGATTAAAAAAAATCGGAGAGGGCTACATTATTGCAGCTAAGGTGTCCCCTACCAATATTGACTAGTATATTATCACACCACATCTAAATGCCATTTGCAAAGCAGTGATGGGTATTATTTAGAAAAAAATTAAGAAAATCATTTTGTTAAAAAAAAAAAAAAAATCCCTACCTACCTACCCTAATTTTTTTGGAAGTGTAACCGGAACCACACATATTTTTTTATTTGGCCTTATATGCAGTGTTGTATAAATGGAAGTAGAGTGCAATGCAAGAGTATTACAAAAAAGTAACTCGAAGACATATATGTACTGTACATGATTGATTTTCCATGTCACCCTCATGTGCTATTTTATTCAAAACATTTAAAGTACAGTTGTGACTTTCCTGTGACAGCTGCTGCTCTCAGCAGGGCCCTCTCTGACATATTTATAATTGTTACTAATTGTAGCAGGTTTATGTGATTGGTCCATGTACCAAAATATTTAGGATCCTAGATCCTCTGTGCTCCTGGTCAGTGGACATCAAGCATATTATCTGTTTACATTTTAAATGATAATCAGCAATGTGATTTTTACCATCAAAAACTATGAAATTCATGTCACTGAGACCAGGATTTGGACTCATTATACCAAGCAGTGATCCCTCTATCTTCTGCTCCAAATGCCTCATGTAGGCCTTAGGGTGGGACTAAGTTACTGGTATATGAGGGGACGTTATTATTGAGGGGGCACAAGCATATAGCAGCTATGTTTCCTATAGTATTCTATATATCGACAAAATTATTGGGGGCGGGGCACAAACCCCCCCTCCCCCCCACCCCCATGTCCCCCCCTTCCCGGTTCCTACGGCCATGCAGATGAATAATAAAATCTTTAAATAATTAATAAAATCTTTTACTGTTCATTTAGCAAGTAAAATAATATATGTACATGTAATGCAATATTATAAAGTCATTAAAGAGCAGTGATTCCATATGTCACTGCCAAATATGAAATTCTTGTCTCCTGTGTCCATTTATCAAATTGTCAGACTAGGTAAAAGGCAGCATTGGTCATGTATTAAAAAGGAATTCAATTAAAAATCTTCTTGTCTTTTGACATACAGGTATCAGCAGACAAATTGATCTGTTAAATATGTAATATTTTTCCTTTCTATGGAACCTAATGGACAACGATAAATTACATATATTTGACAACCCATATGATGCAGTATGCTTTTAACAGAATCTTTAAAATTTAGGACCCTTCAGTGTAACTTGAGAGTTGAGATGCTGACATAGATACATTTATTGTTTTCTAAATAGTTCTGATCATAGGTTTAAGTTTTAATCAAAATTTTGCTTAATGTATATACAATGTAATGGTAAAGAAAATAATATTTATTCTTTTGCATTTATTTGTTTTAATGAAAGAAAAAAAATCTGTGAAATCTCCATGATTGATTTTGTTGATGCATTACAGATATTAATTTATTTCAGAGCATAAAGAAAAGAAGAAAAAGTCTGGTCGTCTGGGAAGAATGTGGAAATTGATCACTGGCTCAAGAAAGTCAACAAAGTCTAAAGAATCGGTGAAGGCCAAATCTACAGGAGCTCTGCATCAGAACCCAGGGCTGACAGAGGATGACGATGAAGGCGGGTAAGGTTCGGTGCTGCTGTTACATGTTATGACATCATCAGAAATCTGCAGTCAGTATCCCATATCCTTAAATAGGAAGCATAGACAAGATTGACTGTGGTTTTCGAACAATGATGTTATGTAGGAAACCTCATTGTAGCTAATCCTAGTCATTAGCATGACCTATGGCTATTTGTTTTGCCTTGGAATAGAATGATACTCTGTCATTTGGTAACAGATGTCACATGTCAGTATTTCTTTGGACGGTGAGTAGCAAAATTTGCAGAAACTGATGGTAATATTTTTATAACCTTTTATACCCCCCCCACTGCTTTAAATGTGTGGTACATGTATATATATATGTATATGTAGGGGTGTATAGCAATGGGGGTGATCGCCCGTCTGTCTGTCTGCCCATCTGTCTCTATGTCTGCCTGTACGTTACGCTTTGGGGTACCCATCTCTTTTCCACGACTCCTTCTATACCATTGAATGAAATTTACCGAGACATTCACAGAATCTTTGTTACATAGTGCAATTGTGCACCTCCATTTTTACTTTTTGATCAGACATATTATTTGGGTTTCCCATAGCAAAACGTAGACACTGCCGTTCTTTCTATAGTATTGAGGTATCCATCTCTTATCCGCAACTCCCTCTATACCACTGAATGAAATTTATGGAGACTTTCGCAGAATCTTTATTACTTAGTGCTATTGCATGTGCACCTCCTATTTTACTTTTTGATCGGACACATATATTTCGGGTTTTCCATAGTAAAACATAAACACTGCCATTCTTTCTATAATATTGACGATACCCATCTCTTATCCACAACTTCTCCTATATCACTGAATAAAATTTAATGGTACTGTCACAGAATCTTTATTACAGTGCCATTGTGCAGCTCCTACTTAATGTTTTGAACTGACAGATGTTTGGGCTTTTCCATAGCAAAAAATGGGCTTTGCCATTTTAATCATATGGGAGGCAGGGGGTATCATTTTGTGAGCTCAGTGCTCACAGTACCTCTAGTTTGTATTTTATCTAGGTCATTGTTTTTGTTGTAATGACTTAAATTTATTTAATTGAACTCCTTCTTTGAAGCTTGCCATTTGGAGATCCTTTTAAGTATTTCGTTTTCTAAATATGAAAAGTTTTCATTAATAACAAACTTTACAGCAAAACAGGATCTTCATAGTCTTTGTATTGGTATAAATCTCCATGAACATCTTTTATTTTAGATTTGTTCCGAGTAAATTACAGGGAAGCCGTAGTATATCGGAGGATAGTGTATTTAAACCTGAACAGAAAGAAGGGGGGTTGGAGGCATTCCGTCAGACAACCGTCTCCATGGAACAGGTCAACAAATCAGATTTCAGGGTAAGGGTAGAGAATATTACAAGGGAATCTTAGGTACAGTAGAAACAAATGTTTTGAAGTATTTTTTCCCCAATAAAGTTTAGTTGTATATTTACCTTTTTTCCCCCTAATAAGCACTCAAGGCACATAAATTTGAAAAGGGGGCAGTTATTAGATCTGCATTTCATCAATTTATATTTATTATGATGAGTCAAAAATTCATGCAAATACATTGAAATAAGCAAAAAAGTTGTTCTGGGAAATAGAGATAACTTTCCTGCAAGGTGAATTTCATCTTACTAGTGTATATGTGGGTTGTTTTTAAAGCTGTATGAGTATACGTGGAGCTGTTTTTTAGAATGAAAATGTGAAAATGATAGAGTTGGGCATGTATAGGGGTCATTATGGTAATGGTTGTGAATAACAGATATTTAGAGATTACTTACTCTTTTTGACATTTTCACTCTTCTATACATTGACATTTTAGTAAAAATTAAAAATCACTCAGTCACTTTCACATGATACAGATGTGTCATCAGCAAAAATGTGGACTTTTCATAGGTCAGGTCCCAGGTCTATACAAATATTATTCAACTACCTCTTGAGAGAGGAAAAGAAATATTGTATATTACCAATATAAAATAATAAAAACATTTTTAAAAGAGGAAATAAACGTTGAGGGCAGAGTTGTCAAATGATTAAGGGGGAGGGGACGGGGCATCAATTATAAGCATCATCTTTCAATGTCTTAATTCTAGTTTACTTTGTATTTAAATACCCCTGTGAAAATCAACACACCAGGAAATAATGTTTATCAGTATATATCTTTATACTTCCCCAATTATAAAACATTTTTATAGTTGATTAAATACTTACATTTTAAAAATTCTTTCAAATATATTAAATGATATTCAAGAGGAAAATGCACATAGTAGTTTTAAAAACGAGTGTGATAAAAATCAATAGCTATTAAAGCCTTTTTGTTGTTTATTGCAGTATCTTTCTGGCTCAACAGTATTGTTGACTACATAGCAAATGAAAGAAACTGTTCTATAATTATCTCGGTAAAAATTGTACATAAATTTTCAGTTTTCAAAACATTTACAAATTTGTTGTCATCTCCTTTGTTGTTTGCTTCAAATTAAAACTTTTTGTATGTGTAGTTTAGAATGTTAAGACATCGAGGACAAAATACAGTCATGCTGTAATATTCATTTGCATCATGTACGTTTCCATAGGAATGATAAAATTCAGGATATTTATTTAATTGAATTCCTTCACCAGACTTCACAATCTTTATGTCAATGTATTGAATATTTGCTACAAAGAATTGATCATAAATTACAATTTAGGGACATGCTACTTAACTAACTAGATATCTTGAAAATTTGCTTCAGTAGAATTAGGTCTTTGACAAACTATTTCACTTCCTACATGTACACTAATGCATAGGTATGTTCCTCTGGTAATTGCGTTGGACACAAACTTGTCATAACAAAAATTTAATTTTGTTTTCTTTATATCAAAAGCTAATAAAAGAAAAGGGTCAGAGTTTTGATATTGTCTGAATCTAAAGAAAACCTTGTTTCACATTTTAGAAACTCGTTTATTTGAAGATCTTATTTGATAGCAAGAAATAACACTGGGATGCTATCAGTTTGCTTTAAATGCCATTTAAGTTTAGATTGATAGATTTCTAAATGAGATTTTAATAGGACTTTTGCAAGTTGTCATGAATTTGGTATGCAATGTACTCTTTTTTTTCCCTGTCAGAACTCACTCTTAGTACATGTAAGATCAGGAATTCTTATTTTGACTTTGATAGGTCCTTCCTGAAAGGAACCTATTAATGCCCCCAAATGAGTAAACATCTTTTCGATCTATCTTTTATTTGCTTTACTAAGTACCTTTATTGATTCGGGTTGAGATCATAGATCACATTTTAGGCATGGTCATATTATCTGAAATTTCATGTATATCGGATAAGAATTTATGACTTTTGACCACTTAAAAGGACATATATAAATAAAATCCTCCCGTATCTTGTATGACTGTAGTCAGTCCTAGGAAGTTGTAATCTGTTGACAATGTTATCGGTAAACAAGGGGCAATGGTAGACCAATCCTGTTGTTTGTCTGCAGTATAAACAATAATCAGAGGAGTGCATGTTAAATACACCAAATGCATTATTGTTGCATGTCACTGCATGAAGGAAATGTACTGCATATATTGTGGATCTGAAAAAATGCAAATCATATGCATGTATTGTATAGCATTAAATATTGCTCACAGTTTAGATGTATTCAGTAAAACCTTTACCATGTGCATTTTTATTTGAATTGTATGAGGTGATCAAGACAAAGAAGTGTGTCAGAACTGCCTTAATATACTGTTCATCTGTACATTGACTGGCCTAACTAATACACTGATATGCTTTGCTTTTGCTGTGCACAGTTTATAAAGCTAACCTACATTTTCAGAGCGAGTTATTCCGTAAGCTTAAGCGGAGAACAATGAGTCAGTCTGATGAAGATGATGGTCTTCCACAGAGTCCAGCACCACACGTCACCACAGCTGACCTCATTCTGGGTGGTGGTCTCCAGGTATTAACCATTGCTTAAATATGAATGTGCCAAAGTTGTGAAAATACTGTGTAGATGTGATGCTTTGGCTGGAACCAAGTTATATATGTATGCATAACCATTAAATGTATTACACATGAGCATCAGAACTTTCCTGTACCAAAACTTGACACATTTTGGTACATATGCAACAATAATACAATTAAACTTTGGTATCTTGAACATGGATATTTTGAATACCTTGGATATGTCGAAGTGATTGGGAAGTCCTAACCACATATATTTTAATTATTATGTTCCCCAAACGAAGTTTGGGAACATATTGTTTTTACTCGGTTTCTTATTATTATTATTATTATTATTATTATTCTTTTTTATTCTTATTTCTTCTCCGGTACTTTTTTGTCCGCGAGTGTTCTCGGAAACTGCACATCCAATTCAGTTAAAACCTTTTTAGGGTTACTAGATATGTTATGTAGATTTGCGAAACGAAGGTCATTTTGCACGCACGTGCACGCACGTGCGTGCGCATGCAATGCGTTAAATGACCAATATACATGATATAGCTGTAACTTTTATATTTTTTGATGAAATGCTTTGATACTCAGAATACAAGGATATATTAAAAGTGTAGACAAAATGACATGGTCAACATGCACATGCATGCACATGCGCGCACGCGCAAATCGTAAAATGACCAATTTACTTGATATAGACTTAACTTTTATATTTTTTGATGAAATGATTTGATTCTCAAAATATTTATATATATTAAAAGTGTAGACAGGATGACATGGTCATCATGCACATGCATGCATATGCATGCACGTGCGCGCGCATGCAATGTGTTAAATGACCAATATATTTAATATAGTCGTAATTTTTATATTTTTTGATGAAAAGCTTTGATATTAAGAATATTTAGATATATTACAAGTGTAGACAAGATGATGTGGACATCATGCACATGCATGCACGTGCGCGCACGTGCAATGTGTTAAATGATTAATATACTTAATATAGCCGTAACTTTTATATTTTTTTATGAAAAGCTTTGATACTAAGAATAAGCAGACATATTATAAGTGTAGACAAGATGGCATGGTCATTATGAACATGCATGCAGGTGCGCATGCGCGCAATGCTAAGATGACCAGTATACTTGATATAGCCGGAACTTATAAATTTTTGATGAAATGTTTTGATACTGAGAATATAAAGATACATTAATAGTATAGACGGGATGACATGGTCATACTGCACATGCATGGACGTGCGCGCGCGTGAAATTGAAAAAACGACCAATATACTTCATTGCCTTATTTAATGAAGCTTACAGGAAATAAGACACCAAAAGGGAGTTGGGGAGCGTTTGGGGAACATCTGTAACGGTGCCCGTTACAATTATAACTAGTTTTACTCTTGATATCTCGAACCCTCGGATATCTTGAAGTTTTTTCTCGGTCTCATTGCATTTGAGATAAGAAGGTTGGACTGTATATTATAACTGATGCTGTGTTTAGTATCTAGTAATAATTTTGCAACAAAGTAACACAGCTTTTGTTATAATTTCTTAAAATGAACAAGGTATCTAAGTATCTCAGCAGATATTAAACCAACTTCACTTTTTTAGCTCACCTCTACAAAGTCGAGATGAGCTTATGCTATACCCCCGGTGTCGGTGTCGGCGTTCTGGTTATTGTTTTAGGAGCAAGTCCATTCCCAAGTAACTGTAAGCCCTACGTTGACCAAACTTGCATGGATGATGCATCTAAGGATGGACACTACCACACTTGCTTCAGATGCTGGATCTGACCTAGATTTTCCAGATGAGTGACCAAGTTAAAGTTTTTGGAGCAGGTCCATTCCCAAGTAACTATTAGCCCTACCTTGACCTAACTTGCATGGATGATGCATCTAAGGATGGACACTACCACACTTGCTTTGGATGCTGGATCTGACCTAGATTTTCCATATGAGTGACCAGGTCAAAGTTTTTGGAGCAGGTCCATTCCCAAGTAACTATAAGCCCTACCTTGACCAAACTTGCATGGATGATGCATCTAGGAATGGACACTACCACTCTTGCTTTGGATGCTGGATCTGACCTAGATATTCAAGATGAGTGACCAGATTAAAGTTTTTGGAGCAGGTCCATTCCTAAGTAACTATTAGCTCTACCTTGACCAAACTTGCATGGATGATGCATCTAGGGATGGACACTACCACACTTGCTTCGGATGCTGGATCTGACTTAGATATTCCATATGAGTGACCAGGTTAATGTTTTTGGAGCAGGTCCATTCCCAAGTAACTATAAGCTCTACCTTGACCAAACTTGCATGGATGATGCATCTAGGAATGGACACTACCACACTTGCTTTGGATGCTGGATCTGACCTAGATATTCAAAGTGAGTGACCAGGTTAATGTTTTTGGAGCAGGTCCATTCCCAAGTAACTATTATCTCTACCTTGACCAAACTTGCATGGATGATGCATCTAGGGATGGACACTACCACACTTGCTTCGGATGCTGGATCTGACTTAGATATTCAAGGTGAGTGACCAGGATAAAGTTTTTGGAGCAGGTCCATTCCCAAGTAACTATAAGCCCTACCTTGACCAAACTTGCATGGATGATACATCTTGGGATGTACGCTAACCTACCTGCTTCAGATGCTGGATTCGACCTAGATTTTCCACATGAGTGAACTTTAGCCATATTTTAACCAAATTAGCATGGATGATGTAGCTAGGGATGGTCACTTCCAGACTTGCTTTGGATTCTGAATCTGACCTACATTTTTCAGATGAGTGACCAGGATAATTTTTTTTGAGTAGCTATGTAACATTATGGCCTGTTATGATTAAACTTGTGTAGATGGTGCATATAAGGATGAAAACTTCCAGACTTACTTTGGATGTTGGAAATGACCCAAATTTTCTTGATTAGTAAACAGGATAAACATTTTTTGGACAGGTCCAAGTAACTATAAGTCGTACTTAAACCAAACTTGCATGGATATTGATCTTGGGATGTACACTAACTAAAAAAAGATATGATGTGAAATTTGCCTTACTTAAAGATAACATTCGTTGAGGTAAGCTTCGTAATCTTTGATTACCTATGTTTATGAGGAGTGTTAGGAAAAACAAATGCACAACATATCTTTTGTTTGGTTGTAGTAGTGCATGTGATAAGCTTGTTTCTCAGTGTTCAGAAGATGATGTAAGTTGATGCATGTGATGGTCTTGTAGTGCTTGAATGATGCTGTCAGTAAATTTACTTTTTTCATATATTCAGTCATCATATCTACGTCAGTTATCTAACTTGCACTTCAAGTATACATGTATATTATTTAGGTACACAGTCATGCAGCTGCAAGTGTCATTTATAATAGTGTTTTGTCTGGGGTTTGCATCAAAACATGACAAAGTCGGAATAATTCCTGAGTTTCACCTAATTCAAGCAAATTTGCACTAGAAAGGGACTGAATTTTTTATGAGGTGAAAAAAATATATGTATAAAGATTCCTGAAAAGTTTGGGAGTGATTTCTGGTGTGATGTATATGAAGAGGGATAATCTTGGATGAGATTTGGTATCCAGCAAGGTATGCAAATTTATTTTGGCCAAAATAGAGCAGGTGCTTGAAAATCAATTCCAGGTCCTTAACACCCCCACCCCACTACTTTGAGCATAATTCCAAATATCCAACTGATCTAAATCTCTGCTGAGATTTGAAAAGGGGGGAGGGGTGATAAGGAACTGCACTTGATTTTCAAGCATGTGCCCTTCTTTGACCTCTAAACAAATCTGCATACCTTGCTGGATGCCAGTGTGTTTTTATGCCCCGCCATAAATATGGCCGGGGCATATAGTGTTTGTCATGTCCGTCTTCCATCCTTCGGTCTAACTGTCCTTCCGTCACACTTTGCGTTTAGCTCTGTTCAAAGCTTGGTTTCAAAGAAACTATCCGAGATATTTTTATCAAACTTCATATGCTGATAGATATTGATGAGAGCTATGCAACTGCATCAACATTTTTTGACCTTGACCTTTCATTTGACCTTGACCTCACTTTTTTTTAAATTAGTGTTTAGCTCAGTTTTAAAGATACCATTCAAGGTAGTGTAATCAAACTTCATATGTTGATACATACTGATGTAAGCTATTCAACTGCATCAACATTTTTTTACCTTGACCTTTCCTTTGACCTTAACTTCATTTATTTTAAATTAGTGTTTAGTTCAGTTTTAGATAAACCATTCAAAATATTTTGTCAAACTTAAATATGCTGATACCTATTTGTGAGAAGTATTCAACTGTATCAAAAACATTTGACCTTGAACTTTCCTGTGACCTTGACCTCACTTTTCTGAGATTTGCATTTTGCTTAATTTTTAAGATACCATTTAAGATATATTTATGTATGTTTATGCACTTATACATTATTTGGAGAGAATTTGTCATCTATATCCAACTTTTTAATTTCAATTTCAATTTTAAAGAAACTATTCAAGATATTCTCGTAAAATTTCATACACTAAAACAAATTTTCATGTTGCATTACTTATATACCCTCGGCGGGGCATTCATGTCCTATGGACATATTTCTAGTTTGGTACTAAAATATAAATGTACAAGCTCTGAAGAGGAATACCCCTTCAGTTTGCGATTGAAGTGAGAAAAGACTATCAAGAAATTAGTAATGTAGTCCAACCTACAAAGTATAAATTTATTATGATTTTTTGAAATGATTATAGGAAATGTATATAAGGGAAGAACTCCTCAATTGATAAATGATGTTTGGTCTTCCTGAATTATTGGGATACTTTTGATGTTTGGTGCAGCATGTCTATGCAGCATTGATTAGTTGTTAGTGAGACTCGGCTTGTCCATTCATTTCTTAAACTCCTTGTAAATACTTCCTAGGAAGTGCTTTCTGTCTGTCTCATATGGCATTTGATTGAAGCAGTTGACAACGGCCATTCTTGTTTCACTTTTATCAATGTCTACA